GATAAAGATGAGGGCAAGAGAAGAATTTCTTTGCGAAGCAATGCGCCGGCATTTGGGTGGAGTTTGGCAAAGGGAAAAACCGTTTCATCAAAGACTACATCTCGAGAGATATACACACGTCCCGTGGCTACGTCAAGACACTTGACGCCTTTGTGCTGTGCACTGTAGCCTATAAACACACATTGGGTCAAATGAAACATGAGCTTCTTGTTGTTATAGGGACGGAGATTTGGCCAACATGCGCAGCCAAACACTCAAAGATGTGAATAGTTGGGTTTGGTGTGAAGAAGACGTTCAGTGGGTGTTTCGTGATTGATGACACGGCTAGGAAAAATATTTATGAGGTGTACTTCTGTGAGAAAAGCCTCATCCCAAAACTTTAGTGGCATAGAGGCGGCAACAAGAAGGGAGAGGCCAATATCAACAATGTGCCTGTGCTTGCGCTCTGCTGAACCGTTTTGTTGGTGAGCGTGAGGGCAAGAAATATGATGAGAGATTCCTATACGTTGGAAGAAGGAGTTGAGTTTTTTGTACTCACCTCCCCAGTCTGACTGCATAGCAAGTATTTTGCAATCAAACTGTCGTTCTACCAAAGCCTGAAAGTTAAGGAAGACTTGAAAAACATCGGAGCATTTTTTAAGAACGTATATCCAGGTATACTTGCTAAAATCATCAATGAAGCTCACGTAATAGGTATGGCGACCAACAGAGGAGGGGGCCGGTCCCCAAATGTCTGAAAACACAAGTTTCAAGGGTTTTGTGGACACACTTGTGGATATAGGATATGGTAACTGGTGACTTTTTGCTCTTTGGCAAGAGTCACAAATAGTTTCACGATCATGCTCATCAACAAAAGCAAGCTTATTTTTGCTAAGAATCTGATAAACAATGGAAAAAGATGGGTGGCCTAAACGATTATGCCATCGTTCTGAAGACACTTTGAAGACTCCATAGGCTTGCTTATTGATCTTGGAAATTTTGGGGATCGATGGGTAGAGGCCTTGCACACATCTACCGCGATAAAGCACCCTCCTCGTGACCTGATCCTTGATCAAAAAGAAGAAGGGATGAAACTCGATGAAAACACCATTATCAAGAGTAATGCGATGTACGGACAAAAGATTTTTGGATGCATTGGGAATGTGAAGTACATACATCATCTACAAGAATATCACGGTGTGGGGTTTGAATAATAGACTCTCCAACATGACTAATCATCATACCTGGACCATTTTCAGTGGTGTGGACATGATCTTGGCCGTGATACTTCTCGTGCATGGTCATCTTTTCAAGTTCAGAGGTGATGTTCTCATTCGAGCCAGAGTCAAGATACTAGTTGGAGTCAACTCCGTATGAGGCATCCGCCGCAGCTGCAACACACCTTTTCCTGGAATTATCCTCTGCATAGCGCCACTTACATTCTTTTGCAATATGGTTAGTTTTCTTACAGATCTGGCATTTTTTTTCATACTCCTCATACCCGACGAAGCGGCCCCCTTGGTTGTTGTTGT